AAAGGAAACTTCGTTCCGACTCCTAGAATCTGTGAAGAATCAGAAAACAAAGGCCGGTCGGTATCACGTGATAGCCCACTAACTCCCGAAGCCTCCACGCACCCCTCGCCCACACTTCCTTCTCCACAGGGCCCCTTCTTGTTCTTCACAACAAAAGAAAGGGTCCCAGCCTGGATCCAAAACAGAGCTATCATGGCAAAGCAATGAACACAAGAACGGAAGTGGTAAAGAAGAGGGAGGAGAGAGGCGTACCAGGCAGTCTCCATCAGGTAGCCAGCTTGTGACTGTCGTTCAACATTATCTGCTTCATTACTCTCATTCCCTTGAACAATATCTTGGGGTTTGCAAAAAAAGGCAGAGGTGATTAGTTATCATTACATACAAATATTTGTTCTCTGGAAAACTAGATTAAAAAGTTGAGGATGGCAACTTGATATCTTGTTTGTTCTACAACTAGGAATGTTGGTTGACAATTAATGAGATATTCTTGTGCAACTAGAAATGCTGATGATGCCAACTAATGAGATATTCTTGTGCAACTAGAGAGGCTGAGGATGTCAACTATTTGGATAATGTTGTCCAACTAGAATTGCAGAGGGTGCCAGCTAAATAGATACTCTTCTGCAACTAGAAAGCCTGAGGATGCCAGTCATTAGATACTATTGGGTAATCCTCAAAAAATTGAAGTGTTGGCGCCGCCTCTCGCAGCGCCGCTCTTCTTCTACCTCGAGCTGCCTCCCACAACTCTCCTTGGGTTCCTCTCTTCTTCTCTTCTATGGTTTCTCTCAAAAACACACACAACATGGTGAAACTACACACGCGCGCGCGCATGTATACCAAGGAAGAAAAACAACTAGCTTTTGCCGAGAGGTACTCTTCCTTGACAACCACAAGTGCTACATCTTTTCTCTTGAGCCCTCATGGCCTCTATTTTTTCATTGCTCAGTGTGACATATATATAAATAGACTGTTGGCCCTCACGCACATCCTGGCCGGGCCACTAAGTCACGCACGAACTAACAGGCCGCCACGCTCGGCCACTAACAAACTAATCCATGCATGCACTACCACACTCACTAACTGGCCTTATCCTACTCCAGGAATCTCTGTAGGATCTTAACGACTATGCATCTAACCACCTCAACATGCAGAACTACATGCACGGCCAGTACTTGGGCAGCCTCATGAATGGCCACAGACCCAACCAAACTAGCATGTATGTAGCTGATATTGACTTGCCGGATCGCCCGGTTCAACCTGTTCATGCAGCCCGTCATGCTCCAGCCTCTCACGCGCTTGCTGCATCACACGGCCATGCTGCCTCACGCAGCACTGCAGCCTCACGCTGCCATCGGCATCTCCTCTGCATGTTGAGCTGAAGCTTCATGGGACAAACATCAACCTACACTAGACTACATGCTAAACGAAAATACAATGCAGATACATAATCAAGATTAATCCTAACATTAAGATGGGATTAATCTGAATTCTGTGTAACTAGAGAGGCTGAAGATGTCAACTACTTGAATAATGTTGTCCAACTAGAATTGTAGACGGTGCCAACTAAATAGATACTCTTTTGCAACTAGAAAACCCGAGAGTGTCAAGTCATTAGATACTGTTGGGCAATCCCTTAAAATATTTAAGATGGGATTAATTTGAATTCTTGTGCAACTAGAGAGGCTGAGGATGTCAACTACCTGGATAATGTTGTCAAACTAGAATTGCTGAGGGTGCCAACTAAATAGATACTCTTCTGCAACTAGAAAACCTGAGGGTGCCAAGTCGTTAGATACTGTTGGGCAATCCTTAATTTTTTTAGATGGGACTAATCTGAGTTCTTGTGCAACTAGAGAAGTTTAGGATGTCAACTAGTTGTATATTGTTGTGCAACTAGAATTACTGAGGTTGCCAACTAATTAGATACTATTCTGCATATAGAAAGCCTGAGGATGCCAAGTCATTACATACTCTTGGGCAATCCTCAATTTTTTAAGATGGGACTAATCTGAGTTCTTGTACAACTAGAGAAGCTGAGGATGTCAACTAGTTGTATATTGTTGTGCAACTAGAATTACTGAGGTTGCCAACTAATTAGATACTATTCTGCAACAAGAAAGCATGAGGATGCCAAGTCGTTACATACCCTTGGGACAATTCTAAAAAACTTGAAGATGGCAACGTTGAGCAACTGAGAAAGTTGAACATGCCAATGCTTAATTAGTCCTTCTGCAACTATGTATGAAAATTAATACACTTGGCTGCCTGTATGTGGAGTAAAAAATATTCATGGTGGAATTTTATGTTACTCAGCGGCTGCTGCAGAAGATCTGGCATCTACCCCTTTGGATACTGCCTCCGCGTGCACCTTTCTTCTCTGCAGTTTTACTAAGAGAAATCTTTCGCCGCCCTAAAGTTGTATAAGAAAAAAAGGAACAAGCATAAGGGGTTAAGAAAAAATTAGACATGTATGTGTGCCATATAAAAACCTAAAGGACAAACGAAAAATGAAGGAAAATACATTCCAAAGGACTGCTGTTCTCCACTCACATCGTCACCCTCTCCATTCCCATCCTTATCATCTCCATGCGGCTGCCGCTTAGCAGCCCTTTTTGAGTTCCGTCGTGAGATCGGATTTGCAGAACCCTACAATGAACAAAACATTGGGATACTAAGAGGGCATAAGAAAAGGGCATAATAAAATGTCAGAGGATAAAACTCAAAAAATTAAAATGCTAATAGGGTAAAAATAATAAAAAATGGGAACCTCTGTTTCATTGTCAGCCACATATCCTTCTCCAGCCATTTTGGTCTCTGCAAAAAAAAACGCATCTATACAAGTTGAGGATACATCTCCTTCACTAGGGGCCGCATCTCCTTCTACAAACATTTTTAGTCTGTGAAAAAAGCAAACGAACAAATTATTCGAAGCAACCAAATGTATAAAGAAAATAATGAGCATAAACAATTGATATAAAAAAATGCCATGAGGTAAGCAACTCATGATGGTTTTTCAAAGCACACCTGCAAAACAAAAAAAATGTGTGCAACTCGATGCACGGTATGGCCAACTGGGCACTTATGAGTGTGCAACCAAAAAAATCAGCATACACACTGCCTAACATGTTTTAGGCACCGGAGGCAAAGCTAAACTAGCCGTCAACCATGCAACTAGATAGCCCTCCCCTATGCAACTTCTAAGTGTGGCTAATGCAGCTAGGATATGTACTACGTTGGTCTGTAAACTCCTGTACAACCAAATACCCTGCAACTAAAAACCCACATACATTGCATGAACATGGTTTACACAACGTATCAATCTGAATACCATCGACTGTGCAACTGGTTAGCCTTCATTGTGCAACTTCATAAGTTGGCTAGCCAACTAAGACATGTATATGTGTCATCCAACTACGTTTGCGTTCATGTGTAACTATTACAACAAACTAGCAACTGGTTACTTATATGCATGCGACTTATGAGAAAACAGAGAAACCACACGGATGCATTTACGAGAAAAGAAGGTCAATAATGTAATGAAGCTCTACAGAGAGTATCATGTTTAACGAGACAATTGCAATCTAGGCAAGAATAGATGGGTCAAATAAGGATCCTGAACCATACCAGTAGTGACAAAATCTGAACAGCTCGCCATGAAAATCCAACTCAACCCCACCACTATAATCCTAATCATCGTACAAACCCACCACTTATCCTAGTCGACGTAGCTCCTTGAGAAAGATGCCGAAACTCATGTATAGATCAACACTCCAATCATCAATGCTCCAAGCATCATACCGGAGATTGACTAGTAGGATCACAAAAGTGATGCATCTGTACATGAATTTGACTACATTTCCTGAAAAAATACCCAGAAGAGGTTGAGTTAACAATATGTGAGTTTGAAAATGTTGTTCATATTTTACTAGTACTATTTGGGTAGGGTATAGACTAGACAAGCATAAGTGGAGGTGAATTAGATGTCTGAATAAAAATTGTCGATAACATGTAGATGAACTGCACAGACATCAAAAATCTTATTGCTCCCATCAATATCCGGCAGATTAGACTATAGTTATTAAGCTATAAATTTGTATTTTCTACTCCAGCTGCCATAGAAAACCCAAGTTGAATCAACATTGCAATTAAATTTCCCATGTCCAGACTACTAAATATAGGAACTGTCCAAAGTAAATTGATGAAGTAGGAAAATAACAGAGTATTAACCAGATTTAGATCCAACAACATTCATTCCTGTAAATCCAAACAAGTTCACGGCTGAATCATCTCGAAGAGAGAGAGAGAGAGAGAGAGAGAGAGAGAGAGAGAGAGAGAGAGAGATCACGGAGGTAGCTTGGGGGAGATAAATAAGTGGAGAGAAGGAAGGGGAATACTACCTGCATGTAGGCGGCGGAGCCCTCGCGGCTAAGTGTGAGGAATCACTGTTGTGCCTGTCGCAGAAGATGAGTCACGGCGGCGCTGGAGGTTGGGGATTGCTTCCTGCGGCGGCTCATGGTGGCACCTTGGAGGGAAAGACGCGAAGCCTGCTGGGGTGGCGATTGGCAATCGCGACGACGAGTTGGCATAGTCACGAGGCGGCGCGAGGGAGGAGGCGGGATGCACAACGGCGGTGGTTAGTGGAGGAAGAAGGTCGTGCTGCTCGGGAGTGGATAAGATTTTCCTTTTTTTTAGTGGAGAGATGGACCGAGCATGTGAGGTCGCTGTCCATTGTTGCGCAGCGCGGCCGCTCGGTCTCGCGAAATAGTGCGCGTGCACTCTTAAGATTTTAGGGGAAAAAATAGAAACAACTAGACCTCCATCTGGGCTTCGTCATAGAGAGGGCCTCCAACTGAGCTACCTCCCCAGCCAAGCCGAAACCCTAGGCAAGCACGCAGCCGCCGCGTATCCCCGACCGCCATAGCCGCGGCTCTACGTTTCAGCCGAAATCCGGTAATCCCCGTCCAGAACACCAGAACCCGCGGATCGAAGAGGCGGAGAAGATGACGCAGAAGCAGACCATGTTCAAGGGGCAGACCAAGAAGAAGTCCATCCCTCCCAGCCGCCATGGCAAGGCGCCCCACATCCGCAAAGGTTTGTGCCCCAGCCGACTGCTTTTGCTTTTCTGCTTCGTTGATGGTGCCGTATGCTTGCTCGCTTGTTTGTTTGATTGGCTGGTTGATGGATTCCTGTAGGGAAGAGGGCCGTGAAGCCGACCAAGTGCACCAAGGACATGGACGCCGACAAGGTATGTTATAGCTTGTAAATTTATCGCCCTATCTGTCAGGAGTCAGGATGCGCCGTCTTCCGTTAGGAAAATCAACATTGGTTGTTGTAATTGGGTTGCACCAGAGGCGATTGTGTAGGAGAGGCTGCCACGAATGCCAATCTGAACTGACTGTTTCTGAATTTGTTTGCCAACACCTCTAATATATCTTACATCTTACTAGCTGTTGTGTTTTAGTTGATGGTTCAGGATGCCTCCAAATTAATGTATTACCTGTCTCCTGTAACACCTGATGTGGAATTTGAGAACTGTGATGCTTGTCGACATTCTACATATCTGCCTAGCTCTGGTTTAATCCATAAATTCATACTACTTGCCATTTTAGCTTCATTGGGTTTCCCAATTTCCATTTATCACAACAAGACTGGTATTTCATTTGACCATGTAAAGTTTGTAGCGTCATACTGTTACGAATCTTGATTCGCGATGAGATAAGTTGGGTGGGGTAAAGGTCTGTAGACTGGGATATTGCACTCGCCCCCAACAATCTAGCGACAGGGCTCGTCCCTGGCCAGTGTCTGAGGCTCAGAGAACTTTTGTTTATTTCTTTGCTTGTTTAAACTTGTTACTACATGATAGTCCTTTATATAGGACGAAACTTGATTCACAAGTACGATCCAGATTCATACTCGCAATAATCCAGCATGAAAACTGGATGATAATTGACCTGTGTGTGTAGAAGACAATATTTTGAACTACCGATACTTAGGTTGAAATTTATTTAGCATGATTCTGTATGCTTTCTTTGTGTTGTGAGCTCCAAAAAATCAGTGTAATATCAGTAACCCCTTTCATCAGTGCAAGAAAGGCGTTAGATGTATAGAGTTTACCCATTCTACAGTGATCATCATTGTTGTATCTATTGTCGAAGACACCCATATACACGCAGACATAAATCTTAGGATCCATTTATATATTTCGCGATGGTTGTTTTGGTGGCGTTTTTCATTGTAGCCATAAAGTTAGTTTGTCTCTTTATTTCTGTACAGTCTATCTGTGTTCTTTATCACAGAGTGTGCACACCATGGTAACATCATTTTTTCTCTCATTTCCTTTGTAAGCCGTACTACAATACTTTCCATCCAATATGACCAATAGCGCGATCCTTTGACATTTGAGTTTAACAGTAATGCTGTGAATCAACTAGTGGGCAATAACATACTGTGAACCAACTAGTTTGCAATCAAGAAAAAAAGATCAGGCCTTTGAATTTATCATAACTTCTAATTTAAAACATCATATTTGTTTAATGATCTTGTAATGTGGTTCGTATATTGATTTTGTTTTTGCTAACAATCAATACAATCTATGAATTTTCAGGACCTCACAAAGTTCATCAACCACGCGAACGAAATAAAAGCTGCAAATAAGGCTAGCAAAGAAGGTGGTGACCTCAGCATAGTGAAGTCCGACGCGGATACTTCCAACTCGAAGCAGTAGGCTGGAGGCTTATGCTGCTTACTGTGATGCACACTACAAGATCAGTGTGTGAAATGATCCATATATCATGTTTTCATGAAGAGAGTATGTTTCGTTCACTCTACATTGTAATCTGTAACCAGTTTTGTGAAATCAAATTTTGTTCTGTGAATCTCTTTTCGGGATGCTAAAAGGCTAGATTATCTGTAGCCTCCCCAAAAACCTTCTCCGATGTCACTTTTGCGAGTTACCACAACTCTCTAGCCCGTCTCTCAAAATTGTATAACTTCCAAATCTTGCTTGGGATCTTGGTGGGAGTAAACTTCCTTTCATAAACTGCCGCCAAAGACCAAAGTGGAAAGAAATTATATGAGACCAGGTCTTACGGTTAGCAGGTGAGACCCACCCTGATGGATGACACGTGACATTCATAAATCTTAAAACATCTAATTTCTCTCCCTGATTTTAAGTAAGGGGTGGGGTAAATGTTTTGTGATTTGTAAATGCCACGTGTCATTCATCAGAATGGGTCTCGCGTGAGACTTGGTTTCATAAAATTCTTTTCCGACCAAAGACATCTGCATCACTGCTGGTTCACTGCCTTGAGACGATTCTTAAGCTGAGTCGCCCTTGCTTTCCTCCTTGGCTCCTTCGGTCCAAGAGCTTGTAGTCGTATCAGTACTCTCCCTGCAGCCAATGCGCCCGTGTCGTCCGGTCATCGCTTTTCTGCACCATGAGCTCTCCGCCTACAGAGTCTCGGCCTTTTCTGCACTGTAAGAGCAATTCCAATGAGGCGATCGTCGTCCATTTTTTATCTGTTTGAATCGGACGTCGGACCCGACGGCGATTTCATCCGTTTTTTTACTCGTTTGGGTTGGTCGCCCACCCGGCGTCCGCCCTATCTTAGATATGGGTCGACAGCACGCCCAACGCACCGACCCATATGTGCCGGCTGGCCGCCTTATTTTGCATCGATGAATTGCATTCAAACATATTGTTAAATAGCATAGTTTAAACCGAATAAAATAATATAGTTTATGAGCCGAATACAAATAAAAATATTTCACATAGTTTTACAAACGAATAAAAGAAAATACATCTATTGGTTGCTAACATGAGCCAACATATGTTTAATCAAATCATTTTGCAGTTGCACATGAGTTTCTCAATCACGCATGTCATGATGAAATTAGGTAAACTGTTCAAACGTTGCCGCTCCTCCATGCTTAGGCACAACATTCTCACCCTGAAACTGAAACCCTTGATCGTACAGGCGTTCCGGGCGCTCGTCTTCTACGATCATATTGTGCATGATCACACAAGCAGTCATCATCTCCCACGTTTTCTGCGTGCTCCGGGTATTAGCAGGATACCGAACGATGCCCCATCGAGATTGCAGAACACCAAAGGCACGCTCGACATCCTTCCTAGCACTCTCTTGCTCTTGGGCAAATCTTTTCCTCTTCTTTCCGACATGATTGGGTATTGTTTTGACAATAGTGGTCCATTGAGGATAGATATCGTCACCCAGGTAGTATCCTTTGTCGTAGTTGTGGCCGTTGACAGTAAAGTTCACCGGTGGGTTGTTGCCTTCGGCAAGCCTAGCAAACACCGGCAAGCGCTGAAGCATGTTGATATCATTGTGTGATCCAGCCATGCCAAAAAAAGAGTGCCAAATCCAGAGATCTTGAGACGCCGCAGCCTCTAGTATGACAGTGCAAGCCCTGACATGGCCCTTATACTGCCCTTGGCAAGCAGAAGGGCAGTTCTTCCACTCCCAGTGCATGCGGTCTATACTGCCAAGCATCCTTGGGAAGCCCCTACTGGCATTCATCGCTAACAAGTGGGTTGTATCTTCAGTTGTCGGCTCTCTCAAGTACTCAGGGCCAAACATAGCAATAACAACCTTGTAGAACTTATACAGGGACTCTAGGCATGTAGACTCGCTTATACGGACGTACTCGTCAATGAGATCACCGGGCACTCCTTATGCAAGCATTCGGATGGCGGCAGTGCATTTTTGATAAGAGGAGAAACCAATCTTGCCGGCGACATCCTCTTTGCACTCGAAATAGTCATCATAGCTGACCACCCCCTCTCTAATACGGTTGAAAAGATGCCTACTCATACGAGAACGGCGGCGGAATTTTTGATGTTTGAACAAGGGGTTGTTGTATCAAAGTAGTCCTTCAAAAGAAGGAAATGTCCGCTCTCTCGGTTGCGATTCAACGCCGGAAGGTGGCCCGGAATGGAGCCACGGAACAACGGCGGCTGCCTGTTGAGGTGGTGATGGACCAACACGGCAGCCAATATCTCCTCCTCGTCGCCGGACGACGAATCGTCGGAGTCGCAAAGAAAATTGTGGAAAAAGAACTCGTCGACGGAGTCCATTTTGTACCCTGGCAAACTGTCAAACAACTTGCGGGCGTCGACGAAGGAGACGGCCGGTGAGGGGAGTCGTGTCGCGCACGGACCAGCTAGCTGCCCTGCCGGCACCCGTCGAGTGGGCCGGCGTCCGACGAGCGTGCCGGTAAGGATCTGGCCGGGGCGGCGAGGCGGCTTCTTGGTCGTGGGCGGCTGTGTGGTGGCAGTCGGCTCCTCGACGGCAAGACGGCGGTGGCGGGAAACGTGGGAGTGGGCGGCGTTGCTGGGAAGATGTGGAGGCGACG